TGCATGTATTGAAGGGAATTTTTTATATTAATGATTTGTCCTGATCCAAAATTTTTGCAGTCCACTGTAATTCAGATTCCAGGATATTCTATGAGAATCCACGCACTTTGAAACACAATTCAAAAGTGTTAGTAAATGAAATGCTCACCAACATATGGATACATTTCCCACAACTTAAAAAATAAAAAAATTTAGGCCATCTGTAGACTTGCATACAGTCTCTTATTTTTTGTGTTTTTTTCAATAAAATAAAATATCTTAAAAGTGTATAAATGGCGAAAGCCAGTTTTTGTGAAATACACAAGAAGCAGAACCATCAACTACATCACGCAGTAACCCCAGGAATCTATGATCTTAGATAGAAAATAGAATAAAACTTTGAAAGATTTTAGGTAAACTAACTTCTTGAATTAACTTCCCTACTTATTCAGTTGTTGGAACTTGATGACGTGCCACTCGAATTATGTCGGCTCATTAAATACGACGAGTTCCATGATTCATTAGAGAAGTCATTTGAAGGGGAAGAAGACACCACGATGGGAGTGTTACTCGGTGGGGTCAAATCAACATATTCCTTTGACTTACTCCTGGAGACGAGAAGAGCCGAACAAACATTCCAAGTGTATAAGCCTGGAGGTAAGAAGTAAACCCTTTGTGATGTTTTTCTTTTTGGGCAGAAGATCAATAAATCTTTTTTTCACATTACCCATTTTACAGTATTTATTTTTTCAATCATTCAATTTCCGAATAGTGCAACCTCTTAAAACATAAGCACAGTATAACCCATGGCAGCTGTTCAGTAAGTAAATAAACAACATGTAATCTTTGCAGGAATAAAGACTTATCGCATTGGAAACTATTTTTTACTTGTTGTTTTTTTTTTTCAATTTTCTGCTCTTGTCTGTTTACTCTGTTTTAATGTAAAAATGTGGTTTTGGGTGATTGATAATTATAAAGCATGCAGAAAAACACACTACTCTGATACTACATTCATAGGTTATCCTACTTGTTAATGTGTGTGTACCCATTGACAAGAAACTGATTATTTGTAAAAAACAAACAAACAAAAAAACACTTCTGTCCTACAATAAAAGTCACTTACATTTTAATTTTCACTGAATAACCTTGTGATTTTCGCAAAATACAGTGTTCCTATTATGTCTTGTTTTTCTGGATTTCAGGAGTTACGGTGAAAGTGTATGAAGTGGATATCTTGGCTGATATCATCCATCCCCCTATCACTGTGCGAGCTCACTTAGAACAAACAGTGCAAGAATTCAAACAGTTACTAGCACAGGTAAATAAGGCAATATGTCTGTTTTCACCTTGTAGACTCGATATGAGCAAATTCGAGTGTAATCAGGGATTGTACATCTATAATTTGTGCGAGGCTTCCACATTTTCTTACTTCAATCAAACATTAGACCACCTGTGTATAGTACGTGTGTGGTTAGCATGTATGTCTTGCATCATAATGGTTGTGGGTTCAATCCCCTCAGCTGACTGCTCACTCATCAAAAAAGTAACAGTTCAGAGAGAATGACACTTTATCAGACGAGTGACCATTTTGGTCCCAAAAAAAATTGAAAAACGAAAATGTCAATGTGTACTTGGACATGTCTGGGCTGATTTCATTCAAACTTGGTTAGAACCTCACACATAGTAGGTTACTGATGCATATTTTGTTTCACAAATCAATTGAAACATTTTTTTAAATGTTGAAACAGCGCCCTCAATGTCAATTGAATACTATGAGATTTGAATATTGTGATGTCTTGTTAACACAAACTTTAATTTGTCAGGTTACTGGTAAAAATAATGAAATGCGTGTGATATTAGAAAGGTATTACAACGATTTACGAATGTTAACAGTACCTAATAAAACCCTTAAAGGTGAAGGGTTTTTCAGAAGCAATAAGGTAAATAATGTCACTTTTTTAAAGACTCAGGCTTACAAGCTATACTGTATTTTCTATATTGAAAGTTCATGAGCGAAAAAAAAATACAAACCAAAAATGTACACTTAATCATAAAATAATTTTTGATAATAAAAACACCTCAATAAGTGCATATCCAAATACGGACACTGCTATAGGTGCATTATAATGTATACTGACCTCGCCATTGATTGGTGCTGATTTCTAGGAAGTAGTCACTGACATGTACATAGATCATTAACATCACATTATGCCCAAATATGGACACCACTATAGGTACATTATAATATATACTGACCTCTTCACTGATTGGTGCTGATTTCTAGGAAGTAGTCACTGACATGTACATAGATCATTAACATCACATTATGCCCAAATATGGACACCACTATAGGTACATTATAATATATACTGACCTCTTCACTGATTGGTGCTGATTTCTAGGAAGTAGTCACTGACATGTACATTGATCATTAACATCACACATTATGCCCAAATATGGACACCACTATAGGTACATTATAATATATACTGACCTCTTCACTTATTGGTGCTGATTTCTAGGAAGTAGTCACTGACATGTACATTGATCATTAACATCACACATTATGCCCAAATATGGACACCACTATAGGTACATTATAATATATACTGACCTCTTCACTGATTGGTGCTGATTTCTAGGAAGTAGTCACTGACATGTACATTGATCATTAACATCACACATTATGCCCAAATATGGACACCACTATAGGTACATTATAATATATACTGACCTCTTCACTTATTGGTGCTGATTTCTAGGAAGTAGTCACTGACATGTACATTGATCATTAACATCACACATTATGCCCCAATATGGACACCACTATAGGTACATTATAATATATACTGACCTCTTCACTTATTGGTGCTGATTTCTAGGTGTTTATTGAATGTGAAGACATAGAAGATGCATTACTGCCATTGCTGGAATCAAGGCTGTATGAAATCATAGACCGCCATGCTCACACAATACGTGTCTTTATATCACTACCTCATACAGTACCAGGTCAGTAAACTAGCATTTATGGTAATAATAATAATAATTTATTTCATTTCAATAGGCCACTACACTACAATACCATGCGATTTCCGGCTATTGGTGAGAAACTTCTGATGCACGCATGTTGAGAACATCATAACTGTTGCATTTATTATATTTCACATTAATACTTCACATGCCAAAGGCTTCAAACTAAATTTTGTCGACAATGCAACATTGTAACGAAAATCTTACTGAAACATGTAGTATACATTGCAATGGATTCGAATTGAACATGCCGCGATAAATGTATTTGATCTTCCGTTTCAGATGTTGATGACAGTGACGCCATGCAGGTAATGAGTGAAGAACATGCTGTCAACATTGCTCAGGACCACCACAGGCCTGACAGCATCACCAGGGAGAGGCCTGACACCATTAAGGACATCCTACAATCTAACGATGATATCACCACAGATGTTGTAAGGTCTGTGGCGGATAAACTAAGCCAGTTGAATTCAGGCTCCACAGACAGGACGATAAGAGACGATGGCACAGATCAAAGTGCTGGCGAGAACTGTAGCAATAATGGAACAGATACAGTCGAGACAGCGTCTGTGAGTGATTCGGATCATAATAATCAAAACAATGTTGAGAGTACGTTAGCTACTGTGGATAAGGCTGTTTTGAATAAGGAGAATGTGGCTAGCGGTGACCATAATAGCAGTACAATAACTGGTGCCTCCACTCGTAGCAGTGCTGCGTGTACACAGGATGCTATACATGGAGAGGAACTTATGTTCAGTGATCCACTGAAAGTTACAGAACAGTGTAAAATTATGCACTCCGTCGATGATACTGCAGCTTGCAAACAACGTGGCATCGATAGCATGCAGGAGATATCCACGAGAGCGCGGTCCGCGAGTGCCCCAGTGCAGACTGCCAAATACAGTGATTCCGAAATTAACTCTGAAGTCTCCAGCGTGTGTGACAATTGCAATAAAGTGGCACTTCCAGTGCAAGAAGTGCAGCTATGTGCTTCTGGTAAAGAAACTCTCAGCAATACGGTAGTTGATAATACTGAAGCCAAAGAAAAAAGGAACGTTAAATCAAAGAAGAAATCTTACATCAAAATTGAGAAGTACAAACATGATGATTCAGGTATGACGTCTGCTATGTTAGGTTTCATGCATGAAGGTCACACACCTTGCTAATTATGCATGACCCCTGGAGGTCACACATCCTGGTACTTATGCATGACCCCTAAAGGTCACACATCCTGGTATCTATGCATGACCCCTAAAAGTCACACATCCTGGTACTTATACAAGACTCCTAAAGGTCACACCTCCTGGTACTCGTTTAGTTGAACAAATTCACTTTTAATAAGTTTCAAAAACGAGGAAACCAGTTTAATATTAGAAATTAGTCCAAACAAGGTTACCAGGATGTCTGACTTTTAGGAGGTCGCAAGTAAATCTTAATTGACTCAGAATAAAAATATTTATATTAGTCAAAAATTTTTAAAAAAATTTGCACGCGTGGATGTTGTGAAGTTTTTATATAGCCTTATTAGAAACATTTTTGGACAGTATTTAGCTGTAGAGTTAAACGACTGCTCCACAATCCTAAAGATTGCACCAGTGTGCAATGGGGAATGTTATTTTTGGATGGCATCACCCATTGTTAACTGTATATCTATATACAAGTTTTACCAGATCCTACATGCTAACATCTTGCATACGCCATTGTCTGCCCTAAAAGGATATAATGTCACAAATTTGAATAAACTTGTGATTGGTCAGTCATTTTTGAAAACTTTTGCATGGCTGTAAAAAAACATGCCTTGATCTTAACTTTAAGGCAATAATTCCAAAACTCAGAAACTAAAATTCAAATGATATTATTTTTAACATGTATGTGAAAAATGAAGTTTTTTTTCTTGGAGAACTCCAACCAAATACATCACTATGGAGTGTGATTTGCTCTCTGGATTCTTGTCTCCATATTTCATTTCATACGCTCTGGTCCAATGCTAGAACTTTATACTTACATCCATTAACACTTACACTCCCTGCTTTCAGTACTAATGGTGTGTCTGGACAAGAGAGTATCACTTGGTATCTTAAAAAAATCCCTGGAACCCTACGTTGGTGTCGCATCTCCTGATTTTAAGGTAGGAATTATTGATTTGAAGGGGAAGCTGCCATCCCTGGGATTGTACCATGGAATTATGGGTCACCATTGTTTATATTGTATTACAGCAAGCATCAAAATAAACCACCATCTCCCTATCAATTTTCTGTAGAACATTTTTAACAGTTTGTTTTGGCTTTAGTACTTTCAATCTCAGTTAGCCAAGGCTCTAGGACACCCATCATCATGTGGGTGCTGGGTGGTAAAAACATCAATTAGGAAATAAGCAATACACTTGTTTTTTTCCCACATACATGTGAACCACATATGCTATATTGAAAATGAAAATTCAATTATGGCTGTAGACCTGGCAATATATTATGAATAAACTCGTCCATATAAAAATGACCTTTATGGAATAGCCCTGTTTGTCGATATTTCTGAATCGTGTGTTGCAGATTGTGCTCCTTAAATGCCAAGACATCACAGAATTTTGTGGGCAATGTGGACCACGGATTCAAAGTCTGCGACAGGGCCTTAATTTCAGAGTTTGTAGGTGTTTCGCACTATCACAGTCATTCACCATTTGATATTCTTAATTTGAGAAGTATCAACATTTTTAAACATAATTTTCGAAACTTGTCTTTTTAATAAATACTTCAAAGTACTTTTTTTGGTGAATTTAAACTTTTTACATCATTTTTAAGAGATGATGTAAAATACACTGATATATATATATATATATATAATGGGTTTTTTGAAAAAGATGTCCAATATTAATATATCACAAGGTGATTTGAATGTGTCTAACATTATTATACGATGATTGCAGGTATATAGAGTATATCCTAACAACCAGGAGTTCGAGTGTGTGCGACTTAATGAGAATCTGACATCCTATGGTGATGATAGTAAAATAGCAGTGAGACTCGGAAGAGCTCTGAAGAAAGGTGAATACAGGGTAAAAGTATACCAACTTCTAGTAAACGATCCGGAGGTAAGTCACCATATCCATACTGTAAACTGCATAGTTTTCGCTATGAGGAATTTTCACAAATTTGAAGATTTTATGACACTTTGTTTGCAAAAGTCATCAAGACTCCATGTTGTACTACCCCAGAGGTATTCTCAATGCTACAAAATTTCTCCAATCTGCACTGACTCGCCAAAAATTGTCTCTTACGAAATCAATGCGATTTACAGCATAAAACCAGCCTAGCCTGCTTAGCCTACTTTCAAAACTGCCAAACATACATTTGTATCTTAACTGTACAGAGAAAATATGTCTCATACTAGAAATATTAGTGAATGCTACGAAAAATAACAAAATATTGCTGACAATGAGGGAAAAATATGCTGTCAACATTGCTCAGGACCACCAAACAGGCCTGACAGCATCATCTAATAGCAAAGTAAGCTGATAGTTAGCTTCACCGCTAAGGTATACCCAGACTTTACTGCATTTTCTCTACTACTACACCACATAGAAGCGTGCATAAACTAATGATTGCATTCATTGTTTACTGGATCATCACAGTATGTTTTATTTTAAACATGGACTTGCATCTGTCATGCAATTATGTGCTTTGTATCTCGCAGCCATGTAAGCTGTTATTTGAGTGGATATTTGCAAAAGGAATGACAGTATTGGAATCCAAGCAGCAAATCATAGAAGAGATGAATAGAATGTACGATACAGATACACCTGTAGAAAGGTAGGACAGTATTCCTTGCATGAGCTTTTAGTACATGCTTATCTGGCACCACTATTCTAGTTTTTAGTCCCCGTTCGGACGCAGTCCGAAAACAGGGGGACCCTGTTTTGACCGTGCATTCGTCCGGACCTGTATCTTAGACATGCCTGAACCAATCACAATCAAACATTACACAAACATCATACATAATATAATACGTTGGACATTATGGGACCTTGATGCACATTTTATTTTTCAGATCCAATTTAAAATGGCCGACTCTCTGCCATGCTTTGACTGATTATGCTCGAATTATATATATTCATTATACATCATGACATAGATATATTGGTTTGACTATCTGATTCAAAATGGCCAAATGTCAGCCGTTTTTGTGCTAAAAAATCATCAAAAATCAAGCATTTCTGGCATTCCAGAACTGGATCTTGGTGTTTATGGATGGATTTTGTTCAAACTTGGTACATACATTGGAGATTATAGGACCTTGATGCAAATCATTTTATTTTTATTTTTTATGATTTGTTAACATTCACTCTATTATCATTGACACAATTGATTGTCAGCTGCCTAATTATTCATAAGTAATCATGAGTAGTCATTAGTAAAATGTTTCACTCACCAGCTTAAAGCTTAGACCATAGTACTATTTTGAGTGAAATCAAAGATAGCCACTGCAAAATCAAATAAATGAAATCAAAGATGGCCACCACAAAAAAACAGAATTAACTTATGCATATGATATTACGAACACCAGTGACTTTCAAATATTTTATTGAACAAACAAATTTAATTCAATCTGGTTTGCACTCATCCTAAAGGAAATAAGAGACTTTGAAGAAAAACAACAGATAGCCTTATTATGACAATAACAAAAATATGGTCTGTATTATTTTAGCTGATTAATTAACCATTTAGCAAGGCCATCAATGATCTGATTGGCTAATGATAGCCTGAGATCATTTCTGATTGGCTAATGATAGCCTGAAATTC